CTGGCTTTCCTTGTGGCTATACTAGCTGTGTTGATATAACAACCACTCCATACTGTTGTCTTATAGTTCTGGCTTTCCTTGTGGCTATACTAGCTGTGTTGATATAACAACCACTCCATACTGTTGTCCTATAGTTTTGGCTTTCCTTGTGTCTATGCTAGCTATGTTGATATAACAACCACTCCATACTGTTGTTCTATAGTTCTGGCTTTCCTTGTGTCTATACTAGATGTGTTGATATACCAACCACTCCATACTGTTGTCTTATAGCTCTGGCTTTCCTTGTGTCTATGCTAGCTGTGTTGATATACCAACCACCCCATACTGTTGTCCTATAGTTCTGGCTTTCCATGTGTCTATACTAGCTGTGTTGATATATCAACCACCCCATACTGTTGTCCTATAGTTTTGGCTTTCCTTGTGTCTATACTAGCTGTGTTGATATAACAACCACTCCACATTGTTGTCCTATAGTTCTGGCTTTCCTTGTGTCTATACTAGCTGTGTTGATATATCAACCACCCCCATACTGTTGTCTTATAGTTCTGGGTTTCCTTTTGTCTATACTAGCTATGTTGATATAACAACCACTCCATATTGTTGTCCTATAGCTCTGGCTTTCATTGTGCATATACTAGCGTTGATATGACAACCACTCCATATTGTTGTCGTCACTACTAGAGATGCGGATTTCTAGGTGTACGGACTAGAACAACATTGAACAAGAACTATATTGTTAGGGTATTTTATAAGATCCCCACTGAACAACTGTTTTCCTTGGACATTATCGAATTACTTACTTGCCTGAAAGTTATGTCTTTCGCTTTATTTTGCAAGGACAAATCAGGTTGGAGGAATTCTCGATGAATGGGCGGCTCTTCATGCAAACTAGGAGTTAGATTTGTGTTGTCTTTGAAAAATCCACCGTTCAGAAACACCGAAGGCTGGAAGGAACCAGCTAAAGTAGAAGGAATGATATCTTGCTGGTTCTCGGTAACACTGTCGTAATTTTTAACAATATCTTGCTGATCATTAACAATATCGTGCTGGTTTTCAAAAACACTGTCGTGATTTTTAACAATGTCTTGCTGATCGCCAACAATATCTTGGTGGTTTACCTTAGGATGAACGCCTGGAAGAAAAGATAATGACATGTTCGTTTCAGAAGAACAAACAGGCTTCCTTGGCTCTGAAAAGGAATGGTCAGCAGTATCCTCTCTAAGTTCAAAAGGAGACTTTTCATCTTGTATACTTTCTTTTGGTTCATCTGGCATAACTCCTCCAACAAAGTCCATTAGCTCGATTCTGTCTATTTCTAGTTGTTCGGCAAGATCTTTATTATCACTGATATTTACATCTGTAACTTTACCAACAAAGTTGCGAATCTCATCAAATGGTCCTTCATTATCTTCGTCAATCTTTGGAGAACCGTCGAGAAATTTCGAACCCTCAGTCTCGTGTTTCTTTAGATGTCGATCCAGGTTGGTCTGCTGTCCAAAACTTCGATCACACAGTGGACAATTGAACGGCTTTTCCTTGTTATGAATGTTTCGGACATGACGTTGGAGATTGGAGGAAATACTGAACGATCTCTCACAGTATTTACATTTATATGGCTGCTCTCCTGTATGGGTTCGAAGATGGCGAGTGAGATTGGCAGAACGAGGAAATACTTTACCACAAAACTTACATGAGTAGCGATCTTTGGCCTTATTTAGCTGTTGAGAAAGCATTTCCCCCATTGGGTTCTCCATTTTCTCGAAGTGACTTCTCCAGAAATCAAAAGAAGAAACGCTGGCACCGAACATTGGATGGCTAATAGATGAAGGTCTTTGAAAAAACGGTGCTGGTAGTCTAGAAGGGCAAGGAAGAAATGGATGTTTCTGTTGCAGACCATTCATGTTCCCCAAGAACAATGGATGCACAGGTCGTGGGTACGCCACGTGAAACGATGTTTGAGAAAGCTCTTGTAATGCGCTTGTAGAACCAATAATATTTTTCTGACTTTCAAGCCTTGCACTCTTCTGGATTGAAGTTTTAGGTTCTTCAACTTCTCCTGGGAAAGACTTCTTTTTGAAGACTCGCAAATCAAGAGGTTCATCGCGCAGTTGTTTTTCTTCTCTGTCCTGGGTTACATTTATTTGCTCTTTTTTTTAGAGCCACGGCACTGTGAGAGAGATCACATGGTTTATCTGTAGCCGAAGACGTTGAAGTTTTTGGTTTCGGAATCACACTATCTTTTCCCACAGATGGCATTTTACTAGCAGCAGACTTTCGATTCGGGCTAAACAACAGATCGTGAACACTATATTTCTGGGTAAATAATGGTGTTTTGACGTTCTCTTCACCACTGTTATATTCGTCCTCGGTGGAAAAAAGATCGTCCAATTCCTTGTCCGATGCCATTTCCTCTGATATGTCAAATTCTGAAGGCTCTGAACGTCTCCTTTCGTCCTTCTGGAAAAACATTGGATTTTGAACTTTAGAGAGATGGTTTGGTGGATCGCTGAGTCTTCCTGGGTTGAATGAGGCGGGAAATGGGATATTTTTATTTGAGGTAAATATTGTAGGATCTGGGAGAAAGGGTCGCGGCCCTGGGAGACTTCCACATGATAGCAGAGGATAACCGTACAGAGAGGGAGCATATAGGGGAAGCCTTGGATAAAATAAAAGTTGATTTGTTTGTGGCATTAAATTTAGGGATTCAGAACACTTGTTGCCCTCGAGGTTTTGACTAGTACAATTGCCCTCAGACGAACGAGAGTAAATTGGCGAATTCTGCGTGGATGTCGGCACTGTAACATCACAATACCTTTTATGTTTTGATAGTGACGTCACTGTTGAAAATGCTTGACCGCATTTATGGCATTTAATTTTCATTCGACAATTCGCATGCATCCTTTTGTGTCGACACAAGTTGGAGAACTGGGTGTAAGCTTTGAAACAGACTTCACACCGGAATGGCTTGATACTACTGTGAATGTGCGTATGTTGCTTCAGACCGCTAGAGGTCGCAAATGTTTTCCCACACTCTATACAGGCATGGCAACGAGCCCCAATGTGCTGGGAACGGATATGACGTTGTAAGTTGCTGGGATCCGTAAACACTTTCTTACAATTTTCACACACGTAACGACGCGAGTCGTCGTGCGACACCTGGTGACGGATTAAGTTACTTTTCCAATTGAACACTTTTGGACATTGGTTACATTTATACTCCTTGTCGCCTTGTCCCAGGTCACTACACCAATGAGAAGAAATATCAGAGTCGTTGAAACTGTAAGATATAAAATATCAGAGTCGTTGAAACTGTAAGATAAATAATATCAGAGTATTTGAAACTGTAAAATATCAAATATTAAAGTCGTTGAAACTGTTTGTTTGTTTTTGAATTTCGCGCAAAGCTACACGAGGGCTATCTGTGCTAGCCGTCCCTAATTTAGCAGTGTAAGACTAGATGGAAGGCAGCTAGTCATCACCACCCACCGCCAACTCTTGGGCTACTATTTTACCAACAAATAGTGGGATTGACTGTAACATTATAACGCCCCCATGGCTGAAAGGGCGAGCATGTTTGGTGTGACGGGGATTCGAACCCGCAGATTGCGAGTCGAGAGCCCTAACCACCTGGCCATGCCGGGCCTCGTTGAAACTGTAAGATATAAAATATCAAAGTAGTTGAAACTGTATGATATCAAATATCAGAGTAGATGAAACTGTAAGATATCAAATATCAGAGTAGTTGAAACTGTAAGATATCAAATATCAGAGTAGATGAAACTGTAAGATATCAAATATCAGAGTAGTTGAAACTGTAAGATATCAAATATCAGAGTAGATGAAACTGTAAGATATCAAATATC